TCTTTTGTAAACAAGAGCCTCAGAGGTCAATTGTATTTATCTCTTTATGCCTGTCAAACTTACATATCGTTATGGGGTGGGGATCTCAACCATTTCAAAGTTCTGGTACAAAAACTAAGTCCCTAGAGGTGGGGCCAGACCCTAGAGGCAATTCTTTTATCATGATTGTGTTTGTCTCTTGATGCTCAGCAATGGTTTACATGTCTATAGGGTGGGGATCTCCATAATGTCCAAGCTAAATATTCTTTTTGACCCCGCCCCTCAGACCTAGGGGTTAGCCTTTCAACTGGTACAATTTTGAATCCTCAACCACCGAAAATGCTCCAAACCAAATATATGGTTGATATCTATGACTTTGATTCAGAGAAGTAGTCAATTTAAGCAATACGGCACAATTATCCCTTTTTGGCCCATTCCCTCGGCTCTCTGGGGAGCCACACCCTTACTTTATACAAAAGTGATTCCTCTTCCCCAGGATGCTCAAGACTAAATTTGGTTAAAATCCCTCCATTGGTACAGAAGAGAAGAATTTTAAATGATTAACCTAAATTTCCCCTATTGAGGCCCCATCTCTCTGCCCCCAGGGGAGCCACACCCTCTGTTTATACAAAGTTTAATCCCCTTTGGCAAAGGATACTCCAGGTCAAAGGTCTAGGAGCATTAAGGGTCAATTCTGACCTCATTGGGGATTGAGAAATAGTTGTTATTCTCGTAATCTTGTACAAGAGGCACAGAGGGCCTGTATCGCTCACCTGGATATCTAAGCAATCATGGAAAAATATTCTCCAAATGAGATCCAAGAGAATATGCCAGACCCCAAGGCCAATCCTTATAGTATCTGTATGGTTATGGGGTGGGGATCTCAACTGTTTCCAAGCTGTGACTCAGCAACTAGGTCCCTAGGGTTGTGGCCAGACCCCAGGATCAGTTCTAATATCATGACTGCATTCGTCTCTTTTTGCCCAGCATTTGTATTTATAGTTTTGGGGTGGGGATCTCAACCGTTTCAAAGTTATGACCCAAGGGTTAAGTCTTCAACGGTGGGGCAGACCCTGGGGTCAATTCTAATATCCTGACTGCATTCGTCTCTTTATGCCCAACAATTGTATATATATAGTTTTGGGGTGGAGATCTTTACCATTTCGAAGTTATGATCCAAGGGTTAAGTCTCCAAGGGTGGGACAGTCCCCAAGGCCATCATGGAAGCATATGTGCATTCATCTCTTTATACTCAGTAATTGTATATATGGTTATAGGGTGGGGATATCAAATGTTTCCAAGCTGTGACTAAGAAACTAGGTCCCTAGGGGTTCAGTCAGACCCCAGGATCTATTCTAATATCATGACTACCTTCGTCTCTTCATGCCCAGCATTTGTATACCGGTATATAGTTTTGAGGTGGGAATCTTAAACGTTTCTAAGTTAGGACCCAGGGACTATGTCTCCAAGGATGGGGCAAGACCCTAGTGCCATCCTGGAAAAGCAAATGTTCATTCTTCTCTTCATACTCAGCAATTGTTTATATGGTTATACGGTGAAGAACACAACCATTTCCATGTATTAAACTTTTTTTGGACCCACCCCTTAGTCCGAAGGGTCAGCCCAACCATTTGTACAATTTTGAATATCCCCTTCCCATGAATGCTTTTGATCAAATATGATTGATATCCAGTGAATAGTTTTACAGAAGTCGTTTATAGGCAAATTGCCCCCTTTTGGCCCCGCCCCTCAGCCCCACCATTTGTACAATTTTGAATCCCCACTACCTAGGTGATGCTTCCAGTCAAATTTAATTAAATTCCAATCAGTGGTTAAGAAGAAGAAGTCGTTTGAAGAAGTTGTTGACGTACGGAATGACGGATGCCTCGGTTTGGCATAAGCTTACCTTGGTCCTTCGGACCCGGTGAGCTAACAAGTTGAAGAAAAAGGTGTTCTATTTATATTTCTACGTAGATAGGTGTATCAGTAGGTATACAGGTAAAGAAGTAGGTATACAGGTAAGTAGACACATTCATTACCATAACGCTGGTTCAGGGAGTGTATACTTCTATACAGTTGTGAAGAAAAACTATACATACGTTTGTGTGAAATTATAAAATGACTCTAGACAAAAATGTAACAATTTTATTGCCTTATTTGATTCAATTACTACCAAGCTGTAGAAATGACTCAATTTAAAACAAACACTAGTCCTTAACTTGAGACTAGTGAATTTCAACAAGGACTGGTAACAAGGGCATATAGTGCAGATCACCAACCCCACAATACATACATACATACTGACATCATCAGATCTAAGAATATAGGAACAGATAAGTAAATTCACTGGTAGAGAACACTACAGTTTAGGGCCCAAAATCAGTAGTCTTCCTCCTTAATAGGGAGGGTTGGCGAGTATGTATATACTGTGGGGTTATGGATTCTGTAATGATAATGATATGATAGTTAAAAACTGGGTTTGTTGTCTTCAACAAGCAGATCTTTGAGTAATAACATCAACGAATGGTGAGTAAATATTGTATTCATCCTGTCCTGAGGACAAAAAAGGAAGAAATGTACATCTAGCCCAGAGTGGATAAATATTAAGCATGATATCATCATGGTAGCGTTTCTGATGTCATCCTAGGGGAATTACAGTAGTCACATACACTTTAATCGTTTACATGTAGGAACCTAAACAAGGTGAAAATATCTTGAGCACATGTTTTTCATGACAAGCCCTCGATATAGAAATTTTTATTCTGCTACTCATTCAAGACAGGTTTACAAATGACAGATGTACATATCAAATATAATAACTTTCATTGCTTTTTCAATGATTTGTCATCTTTGTGTTTTTCTGTCGCCATAATATTCTTGAATCCCTATACATGAACTATCAGTTATATTATTTTTATACTTTTGAATTTGCTGCTAAGCTGACTAGGCTTTTTATGAACAAATTAAGCCTTTGTAATGACATCAAAATTCAAGGTGAAAATGATAGTACAAAGATCATGTTGTGTGTCCATTTCCGAAAGCTATATAAAGCAGCCATAGAAATCCAAACAGGTGTGTTGTGTTTATATATCTATGATCTTGGCTTGTCGCCTGTCTGAATAGATTGTCTGACAAGGGGCATTGATTTTAAAGCAGTGATTTCTGGAAAACATATTATGTAATGTACTGTTCATATAATGCGTTATAATAAACAGCCATTTCAGTTACTACTTGTGTTGAGTAATTTTGTCAACTGTATTAAAAATGCTCACAAATCAAACTTCTCCATAACATTCTTTAACTTATTTACCCCTGAAATTTCATGATGAATTATTCCAACTTTTGAATTGGAAGAGTTCAAATGTGTCTTTAGGGGTAAATGAGTTAATTTGCTTAAATTTTTGAAAAAAAGAAAATATTCTTGTGTTTTTTGTTGTTGTTGGGTTGTTGTTGGGTTTTTTTCTTTTGGGGGTGGGGGGGGGGGGGGGGGGGGGGGTAGCATTTCATTTTTCTGGTAGGGTAGAAAGATAAAACAGATGTAACATCTTTTTTTTTTTTAAATATTACATCAGCATCCCTCTTCCCGTCTCTATCTGTTATCCACTGAAAATCATCAGGAGTGGACAGGTACTTGGTAGTGTCATGGCATAGCTGTCAGCCCTCCCTAATTAAGGAGGGAGACTCCCTCATTTTGACCAAAATCGATCGATCTCCCTCGAAGCTCCCTCATTTAAGTCCAAACTCAAACAAACTCAAAGTCTACATCCTGTGGCCAAATGATCTTCTAGTTACTGCAGGGTGTGTGTAATTATCATAACAGGTGTGTCTGAATCAAATGAATGCCTTTTGGAATTATTCTGATACATAAAAAGGGAAAGATCAATTGAGCAAAGCAGTTTCAGATGTGTTTTTTTATGCACTTTCTACCCCACTCACCCCCCAACTTCCAGGGCCCAAGTCACCACCTAGAAATTTTTCGTATCTTTTCAATTAAACTACGTGCCTTTCAAGCAACGAGGTCTTGATTTTTCACTTGAATAAATAATGCAAATTCACTGTAACCTAAATTTTGTGAAACCTTATAAATCATTGAAATGCAAATTTTTGGGGGTTGTTTTCAGAATTTAAATGATTTTTTAACAGATCTGAATAACATTTTCGTGACCATCTACTAAATTTTGTATGTCATAAATATTGCAGTTACACTATAGCTAAGACTTTACATAATATCTGTCTTTTTGTCAACTTTGAAGAAACGCTAAATTACTTTAACTAGCTTACACTCCCTATTTATATCTTGACCTATAAATTAGCAGAATTTGTGGATGGCAAGAGCATAAAGATATATGCCACAGAGAATATGATGCACAGCATGATTGATGGACAGACTGTTTGATAGACTGATGGACACTGATGGACAGACTGTTTGATAGACTGATTGACACTGATGGACAGACGAATGCAGTACAAAACTGTAGTTCCCTTCAGCAGTATCAGTGGCGACTTAGAAAACCAGAACTGAAGCCAGATCGGTAGACTATAACCCGAGTCTGTGCCATGACCTGTAGTAATACATGTAGTTCTTTAAACAAAAAGGGATATAACTACATCAATGGGAGAAGAAATTCAAATTTATATTCTAGCTTCTTCAAATTGTCTAGATGTAGGTGCTTTGTATACCAAAAACAAGGGGAATAACTCCATGCATAGGGGAGTTAACTCAAATTCATATACTATACATTATTTACCCCTCAAGATATAAGGGCTACAAGTATTATTCAAATTGTGATTTTTGTGTTTTTTTGTTTGTTTGTTTATTACCGGGTATTGTAAATATTTTTATGAAACTATGACAAAATGTCATTACTTTTAATCACCAACGCATCTCGCTTATTTCTCACATGGTGATCGGCAGCATTTAGCTATACATGTACCACCATGTTTGTTTGTAAAAGAAAATGCAAGGGTGTTCATCATGGCACATGTTGAATAGCGCTTTTAAGTGGTAATGGGTAACTTACTTTTTGATATCCACATCTTGAGATTCCTCTGAATTTTCCACTTGTGGTTCTGAATCAGCCATATTAGAAAATTCCTGAAATGTATTATCAGATCATATTTGATATAATTTTTACACAAGGATAAGAAAACAAACAGCCTTACATCTTTAAAATTGGTAACTTATGAAGGGGTAAACTTTGATAAAAACTAGAACTTTAGCCTGAATGGCAGATTTGTGTGTGTACCCCACAAAAACATATTTAAACAAAGGGGCATAACTCCATAAATAGGGTAGTAACTACAATTTATATACTTAATTCAAATCCCCTTGATGTAAGTGTTATGGGTACCAAGGACCATTTAAATCAGTGCAGGACTTTCTGGTGAGTATAGTGCCAATTATGTTTTTAAACGAAATGGTATAACGCCATAAATAGGGGAGGTAACTCCAATTTATATGTCCTTCAATGTAAGTGTTCTGTGTACCATGTATCCCCCAAACTAGTAGAGTACTTTGTGAGGAGTGGTATGTACAAGTTTGTGTCTACAGACAGAAGTACAGATATACATCGCTATTACCTGTATAAAGAGACCACCTGCATTATGAGATAACATTTTGGAATTCAGTAGTTTGGTTTTTGAGTGTAGGTGTGTACAGGTGTGCAATTTTTTTTTCTAAATGGTAACGTAATTACTATTTTCACAGTCTCCAGGAGATTATACACACTGTAAGCCTTCTAGACAATAATAGCACTGTAAATTGATGCATTAACTTTAGTAAATAAAACATGATTCAATTGTTTTCATCGTTATGTCACAATTATGCCCATGTCTCTCACAAAGCTTCTCTTCTAAAGAAATCACTTCTAAAGAAATCAAACAGATCTGAATTGAAGCCAATTATTGAATAATTTAAGAACAATCAGAATGATAACAACAGTCGTATTTCACAGCTATATCATACGCCAAAATTAATACCAGGGTTGGCTTTCCACTTCAGGTCTTGCATTAAGCCTTGGCCCTCACTGGCAAATTTTTGTGAGTGGGTACCAAAAAAGCTATTACTTATGAAATAATCAACATATGTACATGTCTTATGGTTGAAATATGTCTGATTAATTATTTTTTTCAAATCTACAGCTATATATTCCACCATAATGTCAATCAAATGTAGAATGTTGATTTTTCTTTTTTCTTTTTTCCCAAACATATGCTTTTATTTTGATTTCACCTTTGAGCATGTATGTATGACATACCAATTACACATGAGTATAAGAATCCTGTCCCACTGCAATTTGGTTTCTCATATATACAGTATTACCTGTCTTATAACTTCAAACTGTAGCACAAATAGGCCAGAACACTCATATACTTATATATAGCTCATGATCAATTGGTTAGAGCATTCTTAAGTCCAGGGTTTCGAATCCCAGTCTTAAGAACATTTTTGTTGTTTATATTTCGTTTATTTCATCTTTATTGTTTTTTCGCAAAATTCCTGCAAGGTATGGTTTTCTTTTCAGAATGATTTATCAAAGCTATATATATATATTCATGCAGGAAATATCGGTTTCAGTTTCTGGCAGTGGTATGGGGATCCTTAATAATGAAAACTGCTGCTACATACTGTAGCTGACAATGGTATATAGTTTTNCCCCCTCCCCCGTTCCTCCCCATCTGTTTCAGTATTGTATGATGTATACCCATCAGAACACACACTTGACCTAATTCTTGAGTACCTTTGTTCCACATCTTAGTGACTTTGTCAAGGAATGTGAGCAGGATGTTTGACAAAGAAACAGTGCTGTAGGTCCGGATTCAGGTCAGTAAAGCATGGATAATTGTTCCATTAAATGTAATTAAATAGATAGCAGTTTGCTTGACACACTCCATCGCTAATATAAACAAGATCACGACTGATACATAATCAATTCAGGTCTCACGGGTTATTTATTTTAAATAAATGCAAATTAAATCATGTCTTAATGAAAATCCTGACTGCAAAAAATGATATACCGGTATACTAACCGGTGTAACTAAAAAAGTAATTAATTAAATAAATTAAAATAGCCACAAAAATAGCACTTATGTAATGTTTACCAATCCTATAATTATTATATGTGTATGTTATAATTATTCTGGCATTTTAAATAAAAAAAACAAAAAAAACTTCTTTTATTTAATTTAGCCAAACCTGGTATTAGACGTATTCAGTGATAATTATTCACCATAGATAATTACGGTGATTTTTTTTTGTGTCGTCTGCAATTCAAAATTTTAAATGTTCTGAAAAGGGGGAGAGACATTTAAATTAGGACGAGATTTTAAGATGAACAGTCAATTTCAAAAAACACCCTGCTGACTTGTTTTCCTAGAATTTGATGAAAAACCTGGATAATTCACGTGTCTGTCTCCTTCTCCAGATGTCTGCTTCTTCTGAACACTTTTTTGTATTGCAGTCATGAAACAGGGGCTAGGACAATGTCAGGAGCGCACTCAAGTGTAACTTAAATGTAGTCAAATTCTGACTTCAAATGGTCATATCTCGATAAATATTTTATTAATTTTTATTTGTAAATCATCTTAGAAAAGATCATTTTACATTCTATTAAACAACATCAATTCTATGATTAAATGTCAAAAAACTATTCTAAAATCATGACAGGAGTGGTCCTATATTGCATAGAAACAACAGTGTTTGATTTTATTTATGTTCAAATAAATACCAATAACTCATTTTACACTAAACTTATTTTGTTCTTTGAAACTGCTCTAGGATATTGCTAAGATAACTTGTTTTCTTTAAAAAGATACAAATTGTATAGATAAATGTTATAAATTCATTGCACAAACTTGGCAGGAATGACTTAATGTTGAAAGAAAAAAGTAAAAATTTAACATATTTTTATGTATATTTATGTGCCCATATCTTGCTTCATACCCGAAGGATTTTGTTCGAGAGGGTAAATCTAAGTCAAGATGATATTTAAATCTTTCCCATGATATTAACTTTATTGAAAAATACCAAGGATATTGCTTCTGGTATGCCTAAACAACATCTGTAAGGCCAGAGCAAATCGTGTATGTGTTTCGGACAACATGACAGTAAAATATATGATAGATCTGTAGGCAAATCCAATTTTCTTTTCTAATTTTCATTTTTTTTATTTTCGTGAATCAATATTATGCAAATATTAAGTCTCCATGGCTTTAGAATGTTCCAGACTAAATGAAACTTTATACTACTCTATCCCAGAACTACTGGTCAAATATCACCCTGCAGGGCCTCCTGGTATTGCAGAAGCTGTTCAAAGATATTTACATATTTTGACCCCTGTGACCGTGAAAGTAGGTCAGGGTCATGTATTTGAGGAACTTCATATCACTCTGTCCAAGGTATCTACTGGCCAAATATTATTACTCTGAGCCAAGAGGGTTATTCAGAAGAAGTTGTTTAAAAGGTTTTTAACACTTTTTACCCTTGCGACTGTGAAAGAAGATCAAGGTCCTTTACTTGAACGTTATAGCACTCTGTCTCAGGTACCAACCGGCCAAGTATTGCCCAAGTATCATTGCTCTGGGCCTCCAGAGTGCGTATTCATGAAACCCTTTTTCATGCTCAAGCATGGATTGTGCTCAAACCAACTTTTTTGCAACCCGCTTAGATAATGTCAAACGATCACAAAGTCAAATGTAAACATTGAAAACAGTCTTTAAGTCTCTTCAAAATGTTTCCAAATCATAGACAAAATAAGATTTATTTATTAAGTTATAACAAGAACAAGAAATTAGGCCTGAGCACAAAATCCATACTTGAGCATGAGAATGGTTTCATGAATATGGGCCCTGGCTATTCTGAAGAAGTTGTTTAAAGGTTTTTACATTTTTTTAACCCTGTGACCTTGAAAGCAGGTCAAGGTCATTTATTTGAGGAAGCTTTATAGAACTCTGTCCCAGGCACCTACTGGCCAAATATACATCATGGCCCTAGGTCCCCCAGTTCTTAAGAAGAAGTTGTTCAAATAAAAAGTTGACGGAAGATGGACGATACACCATATAAGGCTTGCTCAACTGGCACTTCGTGCCAAGTGGGTTAAAAAATGGAATTAATTTTACACTCTCAAAACATAAAACTAGCACTGTCCAAGCTCTGTTTTAACAGAAAATAACTTAGCTGAAATATATCAAGCTGCTTAGGAAACACAAGCCAATCTGATAAAAGTCACGCTCGGCGTGTATGTGGTTTCTCGTAAACATCTGTGTATCTATACAGGGGAATAATGCTATTTCTGTATTAATATGAAACATAATACAAGTAAATAGGTCAGATGTTTCCATGACAATGCAATTCACAAACAAGACAAATCCCCTCCCATACACAACAATCTGTAACAAAGCACACACCTAGCTTCAGTGATGTGTCCTTGAAGGACAAAACAGCAGTATTATGCAGTGTAATTCAATTTTGGCATACTGTGTCTATTACTAAGATTTAAAGGTGTTTTCACCTGTGTGTGTGAAATTAAAGGTGGTAGCTGACACAGCTGGTGGATTATTTATATAATTAGTCCCCGAGGTTTGCTATAACCTTGATGGCCACAGTTATCTCTTTTGATTAGTGCAGGCACCTTTCATTATAAACAAACTTTACAGATGATTTAATTTAAAATTAACCAGTACTTATCTATTTGTTTCAATCTATAAATTAAGACATTTCACACACCTGACCCCTCTGTTTCAACCGTAGTTAAGACCAATTTGGATTTCAAACTTTTTTACCTCTAGCATCACCAACGAGTCCTAGAAGTTAAGGAGGAAACAGCTGTCTGGTGCAGTGTAACTTATTTTTGGCATACTGAATCTATTACTAGTTTTAAAGGTGCGATTGTGATCCCCTGTGTGTGTGTTAATATGTTTATCTTGTCAGCAATACCTTCTCAATGTCTTTCAACGTTGTTCCAACAAGAAAGCTTGGGGGTTCAAAAGGGTGAGAAACATTTAATCCCTGATGAGGGGGCCAAGCCCCAGAGCTTGGATCTAAAGTGATTGTTGATATTTATTTGAGAACCTACTGATGTATCAATTCAGGGTTTTTTCTACCTAAATTTTAAACCAGAATTTAAAGCCTACATGAATATGAAAAATATATACAACAATTTTGTACCGAAATTGGAAAGATGTTTTTTAATCTTACATCTTTATGGGAAATATATAGCCTTTTTTGGCCAGGGAAGCAGCCAATTTTTGGCTATGAACCCTTTCACCCCTTGGTAACTTGAGTAGACTCTACCAAACATTCATCTGGATGAGTCCATTATTGTTTACAGTGGTGAAAGGGTTAAGCAAGGACAAAAAATCGCTGCAAGTGAACAAGTTTTTCTATAAAAAGAAATACATGTTGTTGGAAGTTATTCTCATACTTGACTATTGCACTATGAAGTTTGATCAAAACCAATTTAGAAATGAAGTCACTAGAGTGTTGACAATATTTGTTTAAATAACAGTGACCCTAACCTTGACCCTGGTATATTGAAACATAAACTCATTGAGATATTATCATACTTATATGTTCGTGTTGAGGGTCCCTGTTGTATTGCAGGGAAAACATTAAGGAATTTCAGTGAAGTTTTGTACATAAACTCCCGTAAATATCCTGATAAATGTAACTGAAATGCTTCTGGGCCATTTCACTACCACTGACCAGGTAGCTCAGAGGTTAGAGCGACAGTTTAATGATTGCAAATCCAGGGTTCAATCTGTAGTCTAGCCCGTTTCTATTTTTAAACTCAGAATTGGTTGATTTTTATTTTGTTTCTTCCACTTCTTATTAACTTTTCATAAAAGTCCTGCAAGCTATACTTTTCTTCTTAGAAAATGATTTAACAAAGCTATGGTCATGCCCGATAAAATTTCCAATAGGTCTTTTTCGTAGTGGTAGGAGAATCCTTAAGTTAGATCAAATTCGATTTAGTAATGAGTGATAACAATATAACATGCATGTTCATACAGATAAATGGAATGCTTTCCCTCACCATAACTTCGTCACATGGGTATCATATCATTATCAAGGTACCCTGCTTTTCATGAAACTGAAGTTTGAACTTTTCATACATGTAGTACCCTGTAGATTTTGTAATTTTTTCTCTTTAACTCATTGACCCCTGAAGACACATTTGAACCCTTCCAGTTCAAAAGTTGGAATAGTTCATTATGATATTTCAGGGGTGAATGAGTTAATGATCAAATTTAATTATCTCATTTGGATAATACTGCCTCAAGAACAATGAATTAACAGCTGTAGGACATACTTTGACAATAGAGACGTACATTTATCAGTTTGTCAACCTGGAATAAATTTTGTGTACTGTAGATAGCTTACTGTGTTATTGATATCAATGATAAAGCATTTTCAGTTTGACATTTTAAAGTAATAAAACTTTCAGCTCATTTAAAAAATTAGTTAAGTTTGCAATTAAAAGTGTACATTTTTATAAAACATTTTTTTTTTTATTTCAAATCCACAAACATAAAAATGTTTGCAAAATTTAGAATTATTAAATTAAAAATGTATTTAAAAAAATCATAGTTTATGAATTCTTAGCTAACAATGCACTCAATATCGAGACATGACTGGCTTGGTTTGAAATTTATCCTGAAACAGACATACCACGAGATCAGTTGTCTGGGTTTATGTGCACTGCTGCCCATGACTTACTTTAAATGAAATTCAGTCATAGCTTCTCAATGTCAGTGTTAAACATGGGAGGTGGGTTTTTTTCACTGGATACAAATAGTTCCTCCAGACATCAACATAGAGCCCAGGGTAATGTAGCATGACCCTTGTCATCCCTTACAGTAGCTTGTCTATGGTGTATAATAGCTATGTAGGGAACTCATGTATACAATATTGTACCAGTCCCATTTAACTTAAGAATGATACTTGTAATAAAAAAAGGAATTATTTGATGCATAAAAACGAAATAATGTAATGTTTAACATAGATATTTCTAACCTGGTGGTAACAGTAATGTTATACCTGGTTGTTATAGTAATGTCATACCTTGTTGTTATAGTGATGTCATACCTGGTTGTTATAGTGATGTCATACCTGGTTGTTATAGTGATGTCATACCTGGTTGTTATAGTAATGTCATACCTGGTTGTTTTAGTAATGTCATACCTGGTTGTTATAGTAATGTCATATGATACCTGGTTGTAACAGTAATGTCATATGATACCTGGTTATAACAGTAATGTCATACCTGGTTGTTATAGTAATGTCATACCTGGTTGTTATAGTGATGTCATACCTGGTTGTTATAGTGATGTCATACCTGGTTGTTACAGTAATAACATACCTCACCGCCCGGTTGCATGATCTTCATATAAATATAATGCACTTAAATGCTTGTTGTCCGGGTTCTTGGTTCCCGTATAACGCTTTTAGCTTTGAAACATGTATGCTATAGATGCATATGGAAGCTACGCATGTAATTACACAATAATTAATTAAGCTAGTTATTCTGCTAATATGATCCACCATATCAGCCTTCGTGTTAAAAACAGTGTGCTACTGTACATATGTGTACTATGTAACAGGTGGTCGCCCTGGCGCCCGATATATCTATACTTCACAAAATCGCCATGTGCTATATTACGCATACGTACGTTAAGTTTAGCCAGTTCGTTCTACAAGGCCAAAATGCAATCTTACCGTATCTTAAAAATTTGTTTTATCAGATGTTAAACTTATCGCCAGCTAAGGATGTTAAAATATAAGAAGTCTGCGACAGGAATCACCGGACAAAATATAAGAATCTTATCTTACCTGGAGCCGCCTTGTTAGTCACAGCGCAATATATATCCTGTAGTAAACAACTTTGGTGTAGCTTGACCTTTGACCTCAGGGTATTTGGATTCGGATCATGTGTTCACTGATGCGAGTGTTTGTGTAGGAATGCCACGTTGAGTCTATTTCATTGATGACTATATCTACTTACGTTGTTAATGATGGATTGTAACACATATATGTCTACTTCTAACACACACGTGTTGGTATATATAAGTGTGCTACACACCAGCTTTAAGATGGAGTTTCTCGTAAGGCGCGGCGGGATGACTCGACAGACCATTAGAAATTTCTTACTAGTAACCCTATTCGCAGTACTGGATTGTGTCACGGACTTTGATTTCGTGTTGTTGAGTTAAATTGTTTTCGCCTTGTCGACAAAATCCGGATTTTAATGATGGAACATATACCTCTGGTTTATATATTCCGGTTTTTTCTTCTATTTATCGGTAATAATTACTATCAGTAAAGCCTGTGTATCTAACCATTGTAAGACTGACAGTAGTCAGTAAGACTGCGTTGGGAAGGGCTAACGAGTTAGTTCAAATTATTTACTCTTTGAACCACCTGTGAGGTGATCACAGGGGTCGAATTAATCTGTTCTTCAAACCTTGAGTGGTGACTGGCGATGTTAGGATGAAAGTCTTTTGAGCTTGTTTAAATGGGTGACCTTCAACCACTATCAAGGCCAAAGGTGAAAAGTTGTTACTGAAGTCTTCTAATGTGTTATAAGAGAGCGAGAGAGAGAGACAGAGACAGAGAGAATGCACACATAAAAACTGTGTATCTACATATCAATTATCAATTTAAATGGCTCGTAAAACAGTGCTTCAATAATTTGATTAACTTTTAACGAATCCAACATTGCTCTAAAAAAAACCATCACGTACTACAGCTAATGATGGCTATGTACAGACCTCCGTATCTGGACTTTTAACCTTCTCCCAATAACTGCCAAGAACACAGAGCAATGATTAATTTTACGTGAAGGGCGCTAAATTAGCCATGTGCACATTAAAATTCTCGGCATTCATTTCCAGGTATCTCTACAAAAACACTTGCAACATTAAATGCGACATGGGATCATAGTTTGTGACTCTGACTCAACTCATTTTAAACTGTTCTCTATACAAGTAATTAGGACTTCATAAAATTACCTTATGCTTGTTTTGGATTCATGTGAAAACAAATAATTCTATATTTGAGTTTCGTACAAAATATGTAATTTCCTTCCCTTCTGTAGTACAGTACATGTTTTAAAAACCATCAAACGTAAAACAAAAAAAAACAAATATTCAAATGCAAAGCGAGTGCCACGGAAATATAGTAAACAACCCAAACGATGAAAATCAATTAGAAACAACACAATCCAGCTTGCATTTAATCACATTTCAAGTTTCATGGCGGTCAAATTTGAAATTGACATTTACGCAAGAAGCTCCGCCCAGACATGTCTGTTTAGCTGCCAATCAGTTCCTGCTTGTTCGCGCTTCGCCGGCTCTTGCAGCCAATCATGTCACACATTTCGGTCAGCGCTGTTGCGCATGCGCAACAATTGATTGCAGGAAATATTTGTCTTGGTGCAAAATCGTCTGCTTTCAAGAGGGCAGATATATTGGAAAGTTTGGACCTTTAGAATTTGAATGTTGAACAAAAGCAGAATGGACAAGGAGAAGACTTTAAAGATTACTTAAAATGTACGTGTAGTCTGCATCATTCGTTTCTGAAGCATATAATCGTTAATTAAAAACGAAAAAGTGAAGAAAAAATGTCAGGAAAAATTCACATATTAATTGTTTAATGTGCACACTTGAATCCTGTAAATATCCAATAAAATTTGAGTGCCTGTGTTACACGCGGAGTGTAATTATAAACAGGTAAACATGTCCTGTGAGAAACTGTCAAGAACCATGGCCTTTGTGGGGGTTTTATGTTAATTTTGTTGTTGTTGTTTGTTCTCGCTAGAATATGTTTATTTTTTAACCCAACAGGAAGGAAAATGAAATGCAGCTCGCTGACCTGTGTCCATTTCAGAGGTCAGTTTGTCAGTTACAAATTCCGAAATGAAGTAACTAACAGGAAACAAGTTTTGAAGAAGCGTTTTATTGCTGTTGCATTTTGTCATGTGTTAACTTTAGAATAAAAACTTTATACTATAGATTGACTAGATTATTAATGCATAAAATATAGCAAAAATCGCACATGCAAAAACACCCATAACCCATTAATCATAACTAAGAATGATTTGCAAAGTATATTCTGATAAACAGTAAGGAAGAACCTTGTGCAGAAATCTGAGAGAGACTCGTCCATATGGTGTTTGCAACAAAACTAAAGACCAAGGGAACTTGCATATGAAGTTCGAGAAACGTCCCTACAGGTCATGGATTTTTACCTGAGAGTCAGACCAATCAAATAGCTATCTTCGTGCCTTCAATTTTGCTATGACATATTCCAGGGGTGCAGAGAGGGAACGTGAGCGTAACCTCTGTATATCGAGGATGGTATAATGTGACCGGGCGGGATGATGTGCTGGGAACCTTCGGCAGTGTGTTTCAGTGAGATAGCACTATAATGACGGCATCATATCCGCGCTATCACAAGGAGGCAAGTACGCCAACATACCCTGTCTCCAGCACACATACACACATGCACGCATACACAACACACATGGAGGCACGTTCTTAAATTACCTTAGCTGTTAATAGGACGCTAAACAAAATAAAACCAAACCAAAACCAAACGAGAAATAGCGAAAAGAAACAAATGTTGAAAAACGGACGACGGATCCCGGACCGATCACTGTCTAAAACTGATTTGAGCAGTTTAGCGTCTTCAATTTAATTACTTTACACCCTTAAAGCAAATACAATGTACCCACTAAAGTGGTATGCATTTTGATCCTATGAAGCTCATTGTCAGTAAGTGTCTTTTCCCATTATAATTTGTAGTTGTTGCAATAAAAACAAGCAAGATTCGACTCTGCTCCAGGGCAAAATAAGGCAAATTCTTGTCCATGGTAATGGGTAATGTCATTGTCTGTGTGTCTTGGACTTAGTAAGTTTATGTGATTGTAAACAGTGTAACTGTTACTCCCCCTCTGAAGTAGAGGACGAATTTCATTTTTTATTAGACTGTTCTAAATTCCAAAATCTCAGATCACGTTTTATCAAAAGATATTATCGGAAAAAAACATCTGTGTTTAAAGTCGTTCAGTTATTGAGTGTCCATACTATTAAAGAATTGTGTATACTAGGAAAATTCATCTATGAGGCAAACAAATTAAGGGAATTATAATGGAATATGATTGTCTTCATTCTCTGTACATTGTCCATGATTTGTGTATAATATGTTTTGTATACTGATGGGCCAATGGCCTAAAGTTCGAATAAAACTTGTAACTTGATTAGAGCTAGATAGTATTTTCATCCGGGTAAATATCCTGGTCAGGGTAAAATAGTGTCTTATTAAGGAGTAGATTCTGTCTTGTCCAGGGTGTTAGTGTTGTCAAGTTCTTGTTCATGGTAATTGCGTGTCTTAATAAAGGTGAGTTAATGTCTTCATCACGGTTAGATAACGACTTGGTCAATATTTAATAGCGACTTTGTTAGGGTAAATACGGTCTTGATCGGGTTTAATGTCTTAGTTAATTTCCAGGTTGGCTAAAAACATTGCAAGTGATACACAATATATTTATTAAACACGCTACTAGTGCGTGAAACTATTAATTTCATATAAGAATTATATTTATAAATGCATAGAAATGCATGGAAGGACGTCTTATTGATACGGAAATCCTATCTACATTTTTTTCTGGTACAGCTCTATAAAATGTCGTACGTATACCTATCGAGGTGCTAAAGCCCATGGGGACCGATAAAGTGTTTTGTGTTGATATCATACCGCAAACATGTCCAGCACAAGCATATTTCATTTCCAAAAGTTACAAAACGACTTACATAAATTACAAGAACATTATAAATGCCTTTTACTTACATTACAACAATATAGATATATACACATGAAAGATGACTAATGTTCAATAAAAAAGGCATACATGTACACTATTTTCGAGAGAGAGAGAGAGAGAGAGAGAGAGAGGGGGGGGGGATAGCGTGGGATAGAGAGAGATGGAGAGTGGGAAGGAGAGAGGGCGAGAAAGAAAGAGAAGGAGAGGGGAGTTAGAGTGAGAGAGTGAGGAATGTGCGTTCCAAATCATAATTAAACTGATACATTTGGTAATGGAGTGATTCTTCCCGACACAGTCAACACTAATGGTCAACTTCACCACTACTCTAAACTTTCTGCTTTTACTTTTGTTCATCACTTACCGTGCATTGGTATTCATTAATGGCCCATGCTTTCCTTCCTTGAATATCCGTTATAGTGACGACTGTATCAGTGAAGACCAGACAAGCGACGCAGTCTTATTATAGACTCACTTATTGTTTGTGTATAATTGAAACACAGGATCATATTAAAAATAGTATTGTTTGGTCAAAAGAAAGGAAGTAAGAACTAGTTTGCGAGTCTGTAACTGTAGCGCGTGCATGCAAGAGCAACACCCCTTTTCATCATTAGAATACATATTCCACTGAGGGGGTTTCCCCTGCTTGACCGGGGAAGAATTTCTGAAGAAAACAACACGTTGGTCTACATATCTAGGACGATTAAAAAGAAGTTATATGAATCCTCAAGAAACTGAATGCGTGTGTTGTCATTCTTCCGTCATATATCTCAATTTCCAGTTCAACCATCCTTCAAATTAAAAGATGAAAACATATGACTTGTCTGCTATCTATGCCGTGGCAAGTGTATCAAATTTTAAATAATTTCGGGGTAGGGACTGTTCTTCTAGTCCCCCTATTAGGGCTCTCCCATCGACCTGGCTAAATGTAGCTACGCCTCTGTATTCAATATGTCTTATTTTTGCAAATGCAAATTGGGATTTTTGCATACCCAAAAACATAAATAATAATGGGTATGCCAAATTCGAATAAAGGTATGCAATATTTGTATGGTATTTAAAAAATTTCCCCAAAAAGATATAAAAAGGTAATTGTGACTCACTTGCCTCGTAGTATCGAGGATGACATCAGTCTGATCACGGATCCTAGACTTAACTTGATATCTGTTATACAATCTTTGCATGTTGTATTCTAGATATTTACATCACAAGTTATTTCCGATGATACTTACATATATCACGTGTTTCCTATACACAAAGCCGCAAACTGAGCAGATAGAAAGTGACCCTTCACTATAATTTGTACCATAAACGGGGTTTACTTATGAGCACACTTCCCCACTTTTGAGAAATCCTGTAATTTTTTTGATATTATATGATCGGCTCGCGTGACTCAATTTTTCTCAAGTGAGGTTTTTTCAAATACCGTTTATCATCACATCACCCAACAGCTATTTATATCATAAAGTCGGTAGATCAAAGCACGAGAAACAGTTAAGCAAGTAAGCAAGTTCTCTTTTATGCATATCTTCATTTTTAAATTTTCAATCGGTGAATATGACGAAATGTTCAACACTAGAGAGTGTAATGTTATTTCTCCAATAATTAAATAAAATGATTGTTTTCTGATTTGCGAATGGAAATGATTAAAACACAAATGATTTTTCTACGTTAGCAAGTTTAGAAATGTACATGTATTTAAAGTCATTTGCAAAGTGGGCGTCGATAACTAGCATTCGTTTATCATCAAGTGATGAACTGCTATATTTTCTATGTTGGTTGTGAAAGTTTCGCCAATATTTGTCAGGAAAAGGCATTACAACACTTGTTTCATAAAATTCGAGTGAATATTTCAAGCCTCACCTCACATCAAAATATGATAGACTATTATAATTCAGCTTAATCGGTTTAATTCAACAAAAGGCAAAATTAATCATAAAAGAAAATAATACTTCGGTGTTTTCAGTACTGTCGTCTTTATGCTATAATTCGTTTTTCTTTCCATCTGAAATTTCCAATATTTGACGAACTCCAACACGAAAATACACACATAAAAACCATTGGAGGTGGAGGCGTCGTTGCTTCTAACTTCTGAATGGTAATAACCAACTTCAAAAAGTTGAAGATAATGTCATGAGGGAGAAAGAGATTTAGTCGATTCCGAGAAATCCAAAATGATATATATATAGATTTAATTTTGAGGGTACAGTGACAGGAGAGCAGATTTAAAAGATTCAGTAGTAGAACAGGAGGATATGATATCTGGTGGGATCTTATTCCACTCAGATATTGATCGTGGAAAGAAGGATTGTTTTCTGACCTGGGTTCTGCAGTGTGGTATTGGAAGGATTGGTGGTGGGAATGCCTTGATTGCCTGGTTGCTGGTATTAGTCTAGTGTGTTTACTAATACTGAACTACCGGGATTGTTTACAATTTTGAACATCATATAATGTACATAGGTTTGTGTTTCTGCGTCTGTCGGCAAGGGATCGCCATTTAAGATGGTTCAACATATCGGAGACACTGAAAATTGCACCTGAAAGTAAACTGGCGATCATTGAGGGTTTCATGTAGAATAAAATCAGATTGAAACTGTGCGTTGAGCACTTGCGCTTTGCCAACAGGATTATGTATTAATTTGCCCTCTTGCTTTAGTGGGGAAATGCCACAGTGATCAGATCGTGCTTTAATGTTAGATCAGAATCGTTTCATATCAGAGTATTTGTTATTAGGGTTTGGACTATTGGGTTTTATTATCTCTTCAATATGATCCCAGTAAGACGTGCAGAGTTTCTTTTGGACTGGATGTTTTATGTCTTTAAATTTTGATTTTAATTTTGCTTCGTCGTCGGTTAAACGTTATACAATGTAATGTAGGGAGAACATTTCAAGTAAAAATCAGCGTTGAACGTTTTTTTTTTTGCAACTAAACCGACGCGGTTGTGCTCTTTACCTTTAGCTCAGGGACAAAAATGAAGATTAAAATAATAAATTGATGTAAAAAAACTGTAAAAAGGTCTTTGGGTGAAGCATATTTTTAAGTTTGCGCTAAAAATATGCTTCACCCAAAGACCTTTTTACAGTTTTTTATATATAATATGTTTTGAATCGATTTTTTGCAGGCATTGTTTGTAATACACGGAATTAAATTAGTTATTGTTATCTAAGTCCGTGATAATATAAACAATATTTGATGAAGAACATTTCGTTTATTTCCTAAAAGAATAGCTCATGTAAAATTCTTTGAACTGTGAGATGGGATTGCTGTTGTCGTGTCGTGTACGAGGGGAGATAACCCCGACTACCTCATCGAATATATTATCAAGACTTTCGATGACTGGGATCTACAGAAATGGCGACTACCATGTGGAGGTCACCCTTTCGTTTCTCGTCAAATTTAAGGGTTGCCCTCCGTCAGAAAAATCCTGAGCGATGTTACTCATTGAGTGCCCTACAAACGCAAGATGATGAAGTATTGTATCCACCAGTCAAGCCGAAATTCCCCCCAGGTGACCAATAAGAGCAATAATTAATCACCGGTGTCTGGTTGTTTTTGTAACGGGTCACTCCAATTTAGCAAAAGCTACTGTATTTGTTTGCAATATTAAAACGTAGATCCAGATCCATAAGAAATTTTTGTACACATTTGATAACACAAGAACTCTGCTTAACCACAGGGGTTCGTAACAAATGTCTGAAATACACTTGTGCTGTGACCAATATCAGTATAGTATGTCATGTGTATTTCAGACATTTGTAAACAAAGCTTCTAATTATTAGGCACAGGTCATATATAGGCCTGGTGCGGTCACCCTTAAAAGTGTCTTCAACCGACAACAAGCGTCTTCAAGTGACAACAAGCGTGCCAGACATAACCTTTAAAAATATTGAATAAAGTAAGCGACATCAGAAGACATGTTGTTAATATGACTATAATACGTCACCTCTATACCAAATTTAAATTTGATATTTGAAAAATTGACCGAGTAAGGATAAATTGAATTTTTACGATCGGCGGTGTGGCACACGTGTGAATAAAACTCCACAGATCGTGAAACGTTTTCAGACTTTACCTCTAAAATTAATCTGAAAAGTAAGTGACATCAGAAGATATGTTATTCATATGACTATGATACAACTACTTCAAATTGAAATTTGGTATAGAGGTTATAGTCATATTAACAACATATCTTCTGATGTCGCTTACTTTATTCAGTATTTTAAAAGATTTTGTCTGGCGACGCTTGTTGTCACCTGAAGACGCTTGTCGGTTGAAGACGCTTTTAAGGAGGACCCGTCTGGTGTTGGGGTGTTTTACAGCACTCACAATCGCTATACTGATCTTATCTATAAATGAACTGGAGAAATTCTCCCTGGCCGAGTCGGTATGAAGCAGCTGGTATTTTACTGGGATGATCATTAGAGATAGCTATTGGAGCACATCATTGTCAGTTACATAATGAACCATGCTGATACACATCAGATCCTTTAAATTTACATCACGATTAACTTGAAACAGGGGGAGTAAAGTGATGTTCTGATCATGGTCTTTCGGTAATTGTTGAAGGGTAAAAATCAAACACTGCCCCAGTAAGATCAGGGGTCCCCCAGGGTTAAGTCCTCGGGCCGATCCTTTTTCTGTTTTATAACAATGACATTACTGAGAGCATTTAAGGGCATTTCATCGTCCATTAGGCTCTTCACAGATGATATACAATTATGTGTCTCACAGTTGCATCAGAGAGAGATGCACAATCCCTGCAAAGAGACCTTGACAGTCTTTTGGGATAGGAAGTCGAAGATGGCGTACCATCCCGACAAATGTCAGGTCCTTTCCATCTCTAGAAATAGAAACCCCATTGTCCACCAGTATACACTTCATGGACATAAACTTCAACGTGTGGTGGAAGCAAAATACCTGGGTGTCACCATCAGGTCTCGCATGACGTGGGTGTCCCATGTCGGTAATTTAACTATCCAAAACTACCATGAGCTACCTCAGGCGAAAACTGAAGATATCATCTTCTGACATCAAAGAAAAGGCATGTAAATCCTTTGTTCGCCCTCAGTTAGAATACGCTAGTCCAGTTTGGGACACATACCTGAAAAAAGACACTGACAAGAGAGAGATGGTTCAGCACAGGGCTGCCCGTTATGTCACCAACCGACATTGTAACACCTCAAGCGATGGTAACATGCATATGTTAAATCACCTTAAATGGCGCAGTCTTGCTGATCATGCTCTACAAAATATGCCATAGTAAAGCTGCCATCAACCCCAAACACCTGGTCCCCACTACAAGACAACCAATGCACTGTCATCAAAATTATTTCCGCACTATCTCCTGTAGAACGTCCATGAGGAAAAAAGCCCTCTAACCCGGTACAATCAATGATTGGAACACACTTCCACCTGAAATTTCATCAGCAGACACTCCATCCTCCTCCAAATCAGCAATCTCCTCCTTCAAGTATTAATTCTGTTCCTTTTTTTTTCTGTTCATGCCACAACCATATATGACAAAATCATCAACCAGTTGAAGTATGTCATTATCTGGTAGAAGTAGAAGACATACAAACTTAGCTTACACAACTATCGGGAATGAGAAAAAATGACTAATATTGTATTAGTAAAAATATGTAGCAGAACATGACTGGGTCGATCATCGGCGACCAGATAGCTCAATTGGTAGAGCATCTGTCTAGAGTTCGGAGGGTCCCGGGTTAGAATCCTGGTCTGGCCGTGCATTTTTCCTCTCCTGTTACATATAATAATTTGTAGTGGTAGCCTAGGTACCAAAGGTTTAAATATTGCAAGTAAGAATTTAAGTTAATAATTAACATATAACATCCTACCTACTGTTATGCATAAATCTGGTGTTTATCTATATCACAAAGTCACCCTTAAAACTTACGGGAGACTGATGTATCACTGTGGTAGAACTAGCAGTTTTTAAGATAGACGTGAAAATCCACCAATTCCTTGGGTATCTACGTATGCAAGGACATGTTGGTTAATTAAGCAATGCAACCACATTATGTAGGGGGGAATGCATGGTCTCCACTGAAATCAAAGATAAGCACACAAAGCTTTGGTACATTGAAGTTGGAATATATAGTATAATCTTGGCATATCTATCTTCAAAAAGTATTGATATGCATGGTCATCCACTTTGCATCAAACTGTCTCGGATGTAGAAAATCTCAGTAATGATGTATGTGCAAATTTTACTGTATTCAGTAAGGAACATACTGGGTTTGTTTTTAGGACTTGGGTATTTTTCATATAATACAACACGCAAATTAACTTGGTGTTGTAAATTATAAGCATGCATGTCAATTTGATTAACTCTTCAATTTTCACAATAGTCCATCCCCCATGTCCCTAAACAGACGCGAGATCCACCTTGTGGACATCATCATCAGTCATCACATGTACATGCCAATATTCAGTTCTTTGTAACTAAAGTGACATTTTAACATTCTAGGTAACTGGAAAGGAATGGAGCGAGATTATGCCTGGAACATGTACAATTTAGAACAAGAATCTCTAGCGATTCCTTCAGTCCAAGGCCGAATTGACCATGTCAAGAAAGTCCACGAAATTCATAGCAAGTACAAAGGAGATCTCAAGTTTGCCTGGTTCTTCAATGGCAAAAGTCTCGAGCCACGTCTGTTCAACTATCAGCTAGACAAAACCAAGACATTTCCCAATGATGGACTTCCTAGTGTTTATGACAATGTGGATGTAACAAATGAATTAGAACTTGTTACTCCTTTAGTGAAGGAAATTATAGTGAATGAGTGTGAAAAAGTCTACCGCAGATCGTCACTAGGCAACCCTGTTGGGTTGAGCAAGGAAAAGGTTTCAAAACTGTTGATCAAAAGTATGATTCTAAAGATCTTGTCAATTTTGTCCTATAGTCACTCCCATCTATTAACGTCAGAGTTCTCGGAGGATGTTTTCCAACAAGCATACTGGGATCGGTTGTCTGATACAGGACTTATTGAAGAAAAACGGAAATTCAAGCAAAAAGTGATGAAATTTCAGGGAGAATATAAAACAAGTTTCCAACTGAGGACGGAGCTTCCATTACCCGAGGTAAGATCATTAGGGCGGGGCTTCCATTACCTGAGGTAAGTTCATTAGGGCGTGGCTTCCATTACCCGAGGTAAGTTCATTAGGGCGGAGCTTCCATTACCCGAGGTAAGTTCATTAGAGCGTGGCTTCCATTATCCGAGGTAAGTTCATTAGGACGGAGCTTCCATTCCCCGAGGTAAGATCATTAGGGCGGGGCTTCCATTACCTGGGGTAAGTTCATTAGGGCGGCGCTTCCATTACCTGAGGTAAGGTCATTAGGGCGGAGCTTCCATTACATGAGGTAAGTTCATTAGGGAGGAGCTTCCATTACCCGAGGTAAGTTCATTAGGGCGGAGCTTTCATTACCCAAAGTAAGTTCATTAGAGCGTGGCTTCCATTACCCGAGGTAAGTTCATTAGGGCGGAGCTTCCATTACCCGAGGTAAGTTCATTAGGGCGTGGCTTCCATTACCCGAGGTAAGTTCATTAGTTGACTGGTTTTATATACTCTTCATTGTTTCCTGGTAGTGTGCTCTATTTATATTAGAACAGGATAGAAAAAGAAAACCTTTATGTTTCTGTTTTTCATGACCTGTCATGTTTCAGTTGTACAATTATTATGAAGTAATCTGTATTTTAAGCCTTTCTCCAAAAGGAATATTCTTATTTTGTGATCTGTCTATCAAATGATCATGATATTGTGAAAACATATCTTTTTCATTAGTCCAAAGGACCAGTTAGATTAGGTAAATCAGTCGACTAGTCCTTTAATACTAGTCACGGACTAAAGGACTAGTGTAAGTGACTGGTGTCAAACCCTGTCAAAGGTCACTTAGAATTGCTTTCCAGACACAAATCTAATAGACATTGCTGTACATTTATTTGATGTTTCAAAGTTAATATACACTGTACATTTATATACATGTATATATGGCAGTGTTTTTGTTACCTGAATTTTACAACAGCATGCAGTTCCTTTATGAATTGTGAAAATACAGTATTCACTATTTGTATTGAAATTGGGAATATATTCCTCCGTTATTTGGTCATTTTGGGAAAATAAGGCACTTTTTAGCGAGGAGAAACAGCCTGTATTCTGCAGTAAAACTGAGCAAACGAAAATCACTGTATGGATATAGTATATATATAATAGATCTTTGGTCTGTGTCCTGTCGTTAACGTGTTATCAGGGCCATTACTTCTTTTTTACGAAACTGTTAATGTCACAACTGGACATAACAATGTGTAGTTTAAAACTCTCAGGTCCATACTGTAAAGGTCTCGGGGAAATTTCATAGATAATTTATTTTGACTAGAATAGACAATATGTCAGGGTGACAAGGTTCTATGTTTGTAGTTTGTAGATCGGGATTCAGAGAGCTGTGTTGGACGGGATTACCCAAAGTGCCCATACCACCCTTTAGTATTGGGGCAAATGAAGGAGAAATGTACACCCCACTTTCTACCCGGTAAGTTCTGCATCTATATACCAGCTGTTTGACTTGTAGGTATACTTATAGACCGTGATCTTTCTGTAGATGAAAAAAATAAAAAAACTCAAAACTCCAGTCACACTGGAATTTTTATAATGTCTTTCAGTGATAACAATGGGTGGAAGTTGCAGAACTTTTTCTATAATAAGCATTTTATTATCCTAATAAATATCCTCCTTTAAGCCTTTTTTTCAAGTTCATTAGCGCTATTTATGGCAAATACGGTATATTTATACACATCTGCCTAGCTTGTATTGCTTATTCTCTCTAAAACAGATGCTAAGCTTTTTTTCTTTGAATAAGAGATCAGTAGATACCTTTTGTTACAGGTGTAAACCTCGGCTCACCGTGTGAGTTCGGATATCTATCGCTGGAGACTGTCAACTCTTTCCTGTTAGATAAAGCAGCTATAGCCTACAAGTCCAGCCCTGATGTCATCCCAGAAATCTGGAAAGGGTTCGCTCTCAGCTCCTCCTTCCTGTCCACTGTGGCGCAGGCTCACTACCAGGGTAAGATATGTCGTAGTACACAGGCTCACTACCAGGGTAAGATGTCATAGTACACAGGCTCACTACCAGGGTAAGATGTCGTAGTACACAGGCTCACTACCAGGGTAAGATGTTGTAGGACACAGGCTCTCTACCAGGGTAAGATGTCGTAGGACACAGGCTCACTACCAGGGTAAGATGTCGTAGTACACAGGCTCACTACCAGGGTAAGATGTTGTAGTACACAGGCTCTCTACTTTAACACAGCATTTCACATGATCAAGATCGATGTACCTCACTCTCAGTGTCATTATTTTAAAATCTGCAAATATGGAACATTGCAGTTTGAAGTTTACGCCCTTTGACTTTGTGCTCCATCATTCCAAACATTCAGCGATGACGTAGGTCCATAATGGATGCTTAAAGTTTACAAGTGGTTAACAATTTATTTAAATCCAATTTGAAAGAAAAAAGAAAGAAAACGCTTGTTGTGGTTGAGTTTCAAAATTCGAGATTCAGCTATTAAATTAAAGTTTCATGAACATGATAAACAACAGTTGGTTGTCTTGAAACCTCTATTTGATCACACAGCTACACGTATGTATATATACCACTCCCATGCCTCACCTCACAAACACCAACCATTCATATAGAAATGTAACTATACCGTTTTGCTATGTTTCAGGATTTAGTATGTACTCTGACATGACCTATCCATTGACATCCCAGACCATCATCACTGATGGTAGAAAGTTTCTGTTTGGTGCCTACCAACTGAACACATTACAGATGTGGAAGCCGGATGAAAACAATCCTCACTGCAATCTGTTTTGGCATACAGAGATTGACATGTTCGACGGTGTGCAGGATGGGAAGATTGTAGGCTACAATGACGACGTTCTTAAGACTCTACTTAAGTTTCTTCTGTTGGGCACCCCTGACCGAGGCTACGACCTGAAGCCAACCATCTCCCACATAGAACCAACAGAGACAATTGAGGACTATGTTCACATGGAGGAGATCATAGAGACAACAAAATATGATTTTGATACAGCCTCATCAACACAACTAAATCAGGCGATGGAGGACTCTGTACCTCCTGAGGATGTCAAAACATAGAAATAACATGTTCAATCAAAATAGAGGACTTTGAATTAAGTGAAGAGATCATGATATAGAACCAACACAGGGGATGGTAGACTTTGTACTTTGTGAGGAGATCATGATATAGAACCAACACAGAGGATGGTAGACTTTGTACTTTGTGAGGAGGTCAGGTATAGAACCAACACAGGGGATGGTAGACTTTGTCCTTTGTGGGGAGGTCTGGTATAGAACCAACACAGGGGATGGTAGACTTTGTACTTTGTGTGGAAGTCACGATATAGAACCAACACAGGGGATGGTAGACTTTCTACTTTGTGAGGAGATCATGATATAGAACCAACACAGGTTATGGTAGACTTTGTACTTTGTGAGGAGGTCAGGTATAGAACCAACACAGGGGATGGTAGACTTTGTCCTTTGTGGGGAGGTCTGGTATAGAACCAACACAGGGGATGGTAGACTTTGTACTTTGTGTGGAAGTCAGGATATAGAACCAACACAGGGGATGGTAGACTTTGTACTGTGTGAGGAGGTCAGGATATAGAACCAACACAGGGGGTGGTAGACTTTGTATACATACTTTGTGAGGAGGTCATGATATAGAACCAACACAGGGGGTGGTAGCCTTTATACTTGTGAGGAGATCATGATATAGAACCAACGCAGGGGATGGTAGACTTTGTACTTTGTGAGGAGGTCAGGATAGAGAACCAACACAGGGGGTGGTAGACTTTGTATACATACTTTGTGAGGAGGTCATGATATAGAACCAACGCAGGGGGTGGTAGCTTTGTACTTTGTGAGGAGATCATGATATAGAACCAACACAGAGGATGGTAGACTTTGTACTTTGTGAGGAGGTCAGGTATAGAACCAACACAGGGGATGGTAGACTTTCTACTTTGTGAGGAGATCATGATATAGAACCAACACAGGAGATGGTAGACTTTGTACTTTGTGAGGCGGTCATGATAAAGAACCAACACAGGGGGTGGTACAACTAAATCAGGCGATGGAGGACTCTGTACCTCCTGAGGATGGCAAAACATAGAAATAACATGTTCAATCAAAATAGAGGACTTTGAATTAAGTGAATAGATCATGATATAGAACCAACACAGGTGATGGTAGACTTTGTACTTTGTGAGGAGGTCAGGATATAGAGCCAACACAGGGGATGGTAGACTTTGTACTTTGTGTGGAAGTCACGATATAGAACCAACACAGGGGATGGTAGACTTTGTCCTTTGTGGGGAGGTCTGGTATAGAACCAACACAGGGGATGGTAGACTTTGTCCTTTGTGGGGAGGTCTGGTATAGAACCAACACAGGGGATGGTAGACTTTATACTTTGTGAGGAGGTCAGGTATAGAACCAACACAGGGGATGGTAGACTTTGTACTTTGTGAGGAGGTCATGATATAGAACCAACACAGGGGGTGGTAGCTTTGTACTTTGTGAGGAGATCATGATATAGAACCAACACAGGGGATAGTAGACTTTGTACTTTGTGAGGAGGTCATGATATAGAACCAACACAGGGGGGGGTAGCTTTGTACTTTGTGAGGAGATCATGATATAGAACCAACACAGAGGATGGTAGACTTTGTACTTTGTGAGGAGGTCATGATATAGAACCAACACAGGGGGGGGTAGCTTTGTACTTTGTGAGGAGATCATGATATAGAACCAACACAGGAGATGGTAGACTTTGTACTTTGTGAGGCGGTCATGATAAAGAACCAACACAGGGGGTGGTAGACTTTGTACTTTGTGAGGAGGTCATGATATAGAATCAATATTTGCTAAATTAAATTATCTACTTTGTGAAACTATCTTTGTTTTGAATCTGTTTATTGAAGATTTTTACATAAATCTCTGACTGATGACAGTGATGTATAAAACACTGATAAGAATGTTAATACTAATTATTGATGCCCTAACCTAATGGTAATACAAGTTTAGTCTGACTATGTAAAAATCGGGTCAGGTTTCTCCATTAAAATCTATATATAGATTCTATCTGATTGTTTTGTCATCTACTTAGTATTATTTAATAATTGAATAGCACTATTTTAACATTTATGATGGTATGCAACATAATTTCATTCAAACATACAAACTGTATTCCATGTTGTGTGAACCACTGGTAGTGCCTCTTGGGGAATGCCATTGAACGAAACTGTTGTGTGCCAGCATACCATCTTCAATGTCAAAAAGATGCTAGAAACACTTATGTTAAATTAATTTTCCGTTTACCTGATGCCTTCTGTACATACTGGTCTGAACAGGTTTCTGGTTCTCTACATACCTATAATAGGGTAATAATGTACTGGGTTGTGGAGAGGTCATTCTCCGATATATATCCAAGTAGAGGTAATAAACTCACTGATAAACCTCAAGGTTTAAAGTAATAAAGAACTGAAGTTTGAATAAAGAACAAGTGTTAATATTGGGTACCGACTCCATTGCCAATAGACATGAACTACAGCACTCAGGATGGCAACTTTGTTTTCACAATAGAGATTTGAGGGACAGGTTTGGTTAACAAGTGTAAATCAGTGGTAGGAAATGAGTAATGAAGCTCAAACAGAGGCTGGTGTATTAGAAGTACTTCCAGATTTCATGTCTTCTGAGGAAACACAGTAATATTATGTAATCTGCAGGACTCTGTTTCCAGACTGGGACTATCTATTAATCAACAGAGGCGCAAAATGTCTGGCATAGTTTTTCCTGAAATTCTGGACTTGTTTCTGTAGCTTCCTATATTTAAAGTAATATTATGGCTCAGGTAGTATTGGTATTTTTATAGACGTACTAAATGCCGATGTCGATATATCACTATCCAAACCCTATCCTACTTTTTCACCCCTCAGCCAGCACAACCGTACTTGACCCATTGTTAAAATAAAATCAATATTCATTTTGTATAACGTATATGTTTAAGGTTTTGTTAACCACACGTGACGTACATGTGGTCAGTACATGGTTAGATGGAGCTGGCAATTCACACTACTGTCTCGTTCAAACAAACGGTGTAGCTTGCACAGACAAAAAGAGTCTGGTTGAACGAGACTACTGTAAAAGTGGATTTCCTCGCTTGCGGAAATGTTCGCAATGTAACTCTTCAAACTGATCGCGATAAGGAAATTTTGGCGTTGGCATTACTTTGAAAATCTATTTCTATTATGTGTATAGATACTTTATTTATCTAGAGATATCGCATGTGAAGATTTCACGCTATTTTACTCAACGCGAAAAACATGAGCATTTACAGTACTGTAAAACTGGATATTTTCGCGTGTGTAAAGGTTCGCATTGTGACCCATTAAACTGATCGCGGTGTGGAAAATCTCGCGTTGTGACCCATTAAACTGATCGCGGTGTGGACATTTTCGCGTTGGTTATTGCTCTGAAATCTAAATATTCTATTTATATATAATCGATAAATATATATTCGCGTGTGGATATTTTCGCGATAATTTTCTAAACGCGAACATTTCCAGACCGCGGTTATTTCAACTTTTACAGTATAGATGGTACAGGTGATAATTATATAACGGCTTATCTCGGGTCACCAGCAGTATACATTTGAATTGGTTTGAGGTCCCACAAGCGTGTCTAGATATAATCACTGGCTAAATCAATCGGTTAAAGCATTGTTATTTAATCTTTTATTAGTAACACAATCATCAATATCGATAATATACATCACTGGTTACACTTGAAAACACACTTAGAATACAATACAGACAGCCATCGAAAATCAATAGTGTAAATAATATCACATACATAATAGATTCAGGCACGGCGCATATATTACAACTATGTTGTACATCGATCTCTTGATTGGCTGATCTAGAGTGACAGATATTGTTAATAAAAATCTAAATTTATCAGTACACATCGCTCCATCAAATATATTGTAAAGTTGTTGTAACGAGGGTGACAGACAATCAATAACTATACCTACCGATGGCATCTACCACGCAATACCTTAAAATCCTAACTAGACAAGAAGCCGAATTCCTTTTCGACCGATTTGAGACCATGGTGGTTATATTGTGCTTGTTTCATTAAGATAAAACACACTTTTATAAAATTCTAAGTTTTCATACATTATTGTAAAGAAAAACAACGACAAAAGACAAATTAAGAAAGATACGTCTAGTGTAATTTCTTTCGTGAGATTGGCCCTGATTACACGATATACTAATTGTCTCATTCGTGAAGCAGCGTTTGTAAATTTGACACGGAATATGGCTTTGTCTCTATCGGAAAGTTCATATTCAATCGTCTGTTTGTGTTTTTGCGTGAAATAATTCAGACGAATATCTTTTTTTGTGGTTTATAAAGATATTTTGATAGAAACATTACACATCGTTTTATCAAGCAAAGTATTAGTACTTACCCAAGTGGATAGCAGGGACGTTATATAACGTTTCATGGTAAATGGATGCACTGCAAGCTCTCCCATGGACCTGAGGATTTGTTACAGTTATATTTGAACTTAAACTGAGGCGTTTAGAGTAATTTTATACGTTTTTGGGGTTGAGATCAACTTTCGGTAAAATGACCCTCCCCAATGATGGTATTTATATTTAAAAATATATATACGAGTATACCACCGTTGAGGCATCAAACACATTCTCTCATATATAAAGTTTTAATGCCATTAACGATAACTGATCCTGGCCTCGATGCATAGATTTTCGAAATTGGTTGAATTTGTGTTCTTGTTTTCATTCGGGCGATCTTAAAAATTTACATTTCAATACCTGATACATAACATGCAAGTCCGCCAGCTTCATTGTCGTTATAAGGCCTTTTAAATAATTGACCAATGCATCAAAACAAGAATGGACCTTAAAATCGACCGAGAGTTCCGCTCCATGTTACTCAGCAGCTATTTACAAAAAGTGATTACAGTACAATTGTTATTATATTACTATTCTCCCTATAAATATATACATTACCGGCGTTACCCAGCATTCACCGAACCGGACATGAATGTATAATGTAAGACCTTGGTTCGTCTAATATGTAAGTTGATACTATTCCCTAAACACCAATAATTGATGATCCTTATTAATGTCAGACAGTACTCAGTGGTCAAAGAGCGGATTCTATGGGAGAGAAATGACATTTTGGCGGGTAATCCCGTCTTCTGTCCAACGTCCCCGAAATAAACAACGTCACTTGTCGTTACCCGCGAAGGTTACGCTGTAAACTTTGACCTCGCCATGTTTGTTTCCTACCCACACCAGACCATCATTGCCACAATTGACTGACCATGGATGATAGATTCCGTTCTCGGTGGTCAGTATTGGCAAGAACGTATGTCCAGTTTCGTCCAGAATCATGATTCGATGGTTGTTAAAATCCGCCACAAGAATCCTGCCCTCGCTGTCACAGCATATACCTCTTGGACAGAAAATGTCAGAATCTGATATGTTAGCCTTCCGAAGACTGAAATACTCCGTTTCCACGTGCCCTTTGTCGTTCAATATCGTTACACAGTTTCTCTTCCAGTCAGAAATAGCAATAAATCCAGATTTTGTAACCGCAAGACGTGCTGGGTACTCGACCAAAGGCGACCCAGCAAAAGACAATATATTTGGTGTTTCCATTCTTTTTTCGCCGTTCACAATCTTTTTAACGACTCTGTTGTTATGGTGATTTTCATAATCATAAAAGGCATTTTTCTCAGTTAAACAGATAACGAGTGCATTCTGATTTCGGTCAAACGCGATGCCTCTTGAACACATATCCGTGTAAGTCACAACAGACGTTTGGAAGGCCTCGTCTACTTCCACAATTTTTTTGGCGGAGTTACACGACACGTATGTCTTGTTGTCCGGCCCGCAGATTAAGTCGTCCGCAGGGAGGTTCAAGTTGAACTTCTGGTGCACTCTTCCCCTGCCATCGTATAAATTAATTTTGCCATCTATCCCTTCAATAATCCAGGCGCGGCCGTCCGCAGCGTAAGAGATGGCGGAGACGGGCGCACCAGCCGTCTTTGTACAAAATTGGGATAACAGTCGAGGTTTTGACTGATAAGGAACTGCAGCTCCTATATGACCGAATTGAGGCAGAAATTCTTCCGCAGCCATGACTTTTGAATGAAACTGAATACCTGCATTTTTTGAGATAGCGCGAACAGGTCCCTCCAGTTTCAAACTTGTCAGTTTTCTCTGTAACTTCAGTCCACTTTCAACAATCTCCACGTCATCTGACTGTTTCATTGCTGCATGTGCCACAAGATATACATTGGCGAAGGATTGTATATTGGTTTCTAATTTCTTACCGATATTTTTAGCGGGAGCTATGCCCTTCCTTGCCTCCTCCCTGGCTTGCCTCAACATGGTCTTTTTCGTGTCTTCGACCAGCGCGTGCCAAACCTTGGCGTGGTTGTTTATTTCCCTCATCGCCAAATCCTCTGCACTCTCCAGTTTCTTGATGTGTTGTGTTGTTTCGGCTTTTCTATCAGTCATCCAAAACACATGGTTGGCAAATTCGTCGGATTCTACGAGTTTCGTAAGTTGCTCTCGGAAGTTGTCGGACATTTCCGTGGCGACTCTGGACATATGCAGTTTGTGTTTCGTCATATTGCAATGTTGACATACAAGCTTCTCACAGTCAATACAATAATACGTCTTCTTCTCGTCTACGTGTATTTCACAGTACACATCTCTTGCCAACTTTCCTTGAAGATGGTCCTTGCCAATAGTTGCAATGTGATGTTCGCGAGTCGACCTGATGTTGTTATGGTAATTGAAACAATTCTCGCAGAAATCCTGTGCGCACTCGACACATCTTCCGATCGCATATTGGTTATCGTTACATACATCACAGGTGATGCCCACAGTAGTAGTTCCAAGATTGAGGTACAAATTTCTCTTGATGCCCTCAGCACCTTGTTCTGGAGTACGAGTCGCCGTATCACAAAGCGGACAGTCTATCGTCCCGTCTGGACAGACACTGTCGATGTAACCGTCCAGACATGTCTTACAATACACGTGACAACAGTCCAGTTCACGAGGGTCCTTAAACTCATTACGACACAAGTAACACCGAGTGTTCTTAAGAAGACCGTACAGCACGCGCTTCCCTTCTTGTCGTCCGGCCATGGCGCCTGTAGTTCTGATATCTGTTAAATCAAGTTATGAGAGAACCAGAGTTTATCTTCATGTATATCTCATGAATATCATAATGTGACGTTTACTAATGATTTCTTATTGTATTAGGCATATCACGTCGCCCTCACGCAGTGATTAAATCATTCTAAAGTAACTGTCAGCATGGAAAGGCTGCCCATACATTTGTTACTATGAAGATATTTCCTTGACACTACCGACATGTACAGCTTCAGCGTATGAAATGCCCTTTTGACGGAATTCCAATTGTATTCATACCGTTCTCTCGGAAAACCTCCCGTTTAATTGTTGTTTAGTAATACATGACTAACAAATATAGCTCCGTTCTCCTATTCACCTGGCTATTGACACTGAACTACATGAAATTACCTGTTATCGAACACCTAGCTAGTAAACACCTATAAGGAAATTGATCGGAGCAACCGGAAGTACAATTCTACAAACACAAAACATCAATATTTAAATACAATGAAAACTGATAGATATTTGATTTCGTAAAGTACTGCTGATGTTTGCAATTCTAATTTAATTATTTTATTTTCTCTATATATACTAGAACTGTTACTGTTACAGAAAATCTCGTTACCAGGGCGACTATGCTGCACGCGCTTGATATTTCAATTAATTTTTTATTGGCAATATTAATTTGTGTGTGTACCCGACCCGTGTATTTGTACTGTTAATGGTATGATGGATTTTCAGTCAGAACAAACATGAGACCAGTTTACGAGAGATAGATAGATCGATAATCACACACGGGGTTCAGAGGAAACGCCTCAGTTCCAGCACAGATTTTAATTCGCAATATTGTGTGACGTGTAAGGGAAACTTATTTTGTGTTAACCAATTTCAAAAATTATCGTCATCGTCGTCATCTTAGTCAGGGGCGGTGGTAAGTACGGCGCCTGGCGTCGTCATCTTAGTCAGGGGCGGTGGTTAGTACGGCGCCTGGCGTCGTCATCTTAGTCAGGGGCGGGGGTTAGTACCACGCCTGACGTCCTCATCTTAGTCAGGGGCGGTGGTTTGTACGACGCCTGGCGTCGTCATCTTAGTCAGGGTCGGTCGTAAGTACGGCGCCTGGCGTCCTCATCTTAGTCAGGGGCGGTGGTAAGTACGGCGCCTGGCGTCGTCATCTTAGTCAGGGGCGGTGCTAAGTTCGACGCCTGGCGTCGTCATCTTAGTCAGGGGCGGGGGTTAGTACCACGCCTGACGTCCTCATCTTAGTCAGGGGCGGTGGTTTGTACGACGCCTGGCGTCGTCATCTTAGTCAGGGTCGGTCGTAAGTACGGCGCCTGGCGTCCTCATCTTAGTCAGGGGCGGTGGTAAGTACGGCGCCTGGCGTCGTCTTTCTAAGTAAGGGGCGGTGGTAAGTACGACGCCTGGCGGCGTCATCTTAGTCAGGGGCGGTGGTAAGTTCGACGCCTGGAGTCGTCATCTAAGTCAGGGGCGGTGGTTAGTACGGCGCCTGACGTCCTCATCTTAGTCAGGGGCGGTGGTTAGTACGGCGCCTGGCGTCGTCATCTTAGTCAGGGGCTGTGGTAAGTCCGACGCCTGGCGTCGTCATCTTAGTCAGGGGCTGTGGTAAGTCCGACGCCCGGCGTCGTCATCTTAGTCAGGGGCGGTGGTAAGTTCGACGCCTGGAGTCGTCATCTAAGTCAGGGGCGGTGGTTAGTACGGCGCCTGACGTCGTCATCTTAGTCAGGGGCGGTGGTTAGTACCACGCCTGACGTCATCATCTTAGTCAGGGGCGGTGGTTAGTACGGCGCCTGGCGTCGTCATCTTAGTCAGGGGCTGTGGTAAGTCCGACGCCCGGCGTCGTCATCTTAGTCAGGGGCGGTGGTAAGTACGGCGCCTGGCGTCGTCTTTCTAAGTAAGGGGCGGTGGTAAGTACGACGCCTGGCGGCGTCATCTTAGTCAGGGGCGGTGGTTAGTACGACGCCTGGGGTCGTCATCTTAGTCAGTGGCGGTGGTAAGTACGAGGCCTGGCGTCGTCATCTTAGTCAGGGGCGGTGGTTAGTACGACGCCTGACGTCGTCATGATTGCTGTTTGCTGTACTATAAGTGGTCGATCGTTGTAACGTACCTACTCGTAAATTAGAATTCAAGATTTTATGTATTTTCTTCTCTGTTTTACATGTTACAAAGCGTATGATTGGTTAAGTTAAATGTCTAAAAGCAATAAAAGCGATAAATGCATGTGGGGTTGTTTTAACGTAAAAATTAAAAAAGAAGGTTTTTATATTAAAATATCTCTTCTTATTTATCTTTATGGGTAGAATGTAGGATAAGGTTAATCAAGAATGATTGTCTTGTTTGTCTGAATATTATAAGCTATTCAAGTCGACATTCTACCACATCTTCGATATAACGACACATTTCATTGGTTTATAACCGGGTATTATTTCTGACGATAGTCCATGCGAGTGCATGTATTATTTCACAACATATATATATCATGCATATGGAAGGCTTTGGGTTCTGTCCCCTGGCCGAGACATACCAGAGTCTAAAAAACGGTAGTTTCTACACCTGCTCGGTGAGGTAGCACTATCACTAGGAGACAAACGCGAACATATCGCAGCCTCCCAAAACACACACACATACACTACACGCATGTGTCTGGCATACAGGGTATACGTAGGCCGTCTTTAAATGACAATTCTAAACCAACCCAATTATGCCTATGCAACGCTGTTCAAAAACATCCACCGCAAATTATAAGCAAGCAAGCCATGGGAATGGTTTCCGTTTTTGAATGTTTGAAGTTTGGCTATAGCGGACGAACAAAAAAAGTTGCTATTTAACCTCAATAAAAAGCTTGTCAAGCTTATTCCGCCGAACTTACGAAGATGAATTGAAAGTGTGTTTGTAAATCTGTCAAATGCTGATTTCACGTTTTGATTTGATTGATTGAAATACAAATCTGGTATAAAGCAATTACGTAATTATCCATTGTTTATCGTCTGTCTACCAAATAGCGTCTGGAAATGAAAAACAAATCCTTTCCAAATATATCCAGGTTAATGCGGCGTTCACACAATGCCGATTATGGCTCCCGTTTGAGCTCAGACAGCGCTACGACACGAAAAGTGAAAAAGTCGGATTACTATCCTCAATGATCTAGAATGTCCTATCATTGCTCGAACGTAGTCGTAAATGTTCGTAACAGAGTCCTACGTATCGGGATGGTCCGGAGAGGTCGACCAAGCACTCCCGATAGTAAGGTGCGTCCCGTAACATTCGGAAACTCAGCCGATTTTGTCTAGTCGGATTACAATCGTAACTATGTCGTGTGTTGTCTGGACGGTGTCTTGACGGTGTCGTGTGGATCGGGACGCTGTCGTGATGAACGGGAGAAAATTTACATTGCCGTTTCTAGCCGAATAAGTCCAGATTGCGGCCAGATCTTGCCGAATGCGTCGGTTCACTGTCCGGTCACTGTCTGATCTCTGTCGGATCGCGTTCGGGACAATCGGGACGCTGTCGGGACAGATTCGATCGTAGGGGAGAATCGGTACGAATTCGGCTGGAAACGGCTGAATCGGGATGCTTTCTGAACAATATCTGATTGTTATTAAATAAATGTTTTCACAAATTTGTGAATTTCCCACCACGAATCACAGGATCTTGATCAGACTTTTGACAAATTTTAAACGGGAGTGGTCCTTTTAAGGATGGCAGTAAAAAATCAGGAGTGTGTGACTGAGGCTTAAAAAGACAAAATAGTTCGACTGCCCACAGTATTATAAATGTTAAAAACGTGCAGCTTATGAACACACATTGGCATTATATGATAAATGTTTGCGCGCGCAAATATCAGCATTATTTAAACAAACCAGATTACGCATGTCACCTTGCTTGGACACTGAGGTAGACACGAAAATGACTTTCACAAGACATTTTACTTGATAAACAGATACAATTAACATATGTTTGTATATTAAGTTAGGACATATATCTCAGGATTCGAAAATGTTGGAAAAATAGTTGACGACGGTCGTCATTAATTATTTTTCCAGCATTTTCTCACCCTCGTTATATATTTCACCAAAATTGCACGCACATATGTTAATTAGGATATACGAAAGTACAAAGGGTAAAATTAGTACTTTTACATATCATGTTAAGACAGCGCGACGTCATAGGATCTTATCTACAATTTCATTGTTACATTATCATCAAAACCTCTTAATGACGTCACAAAACATGACTCCAGCTTTGATAATGTAATACTGTTTATGAAAATTTACGCTACAAGCAAACTATTATTTCTCTACACCTTACTAGTTTTTATAGATTTTAAATGTTTTTACTCATAGAACGACATGTAACTCTGGACAGAAAATATGTATGTGTGTTACAACGACTGTATAGATTGAAAACAACTTCCGTTTTAAACGACTAAATAGATTGAAAACAACTTCCGTTTTAAACGACTAAATAGATTGGAAACAATTTCCCTTATAAACGACTGAACAGATTGAAAACAATTTCCGTTATAAACGAATATATAGATTGATAACAACTGCCGGTTAAAACCAATGTAGTGATTGAAAACAAGGCGTGGCGAGAGGAAATTTCTTTTTAATTTTAACGTGACAAACACATGAAAAATGTCTATAAGGCACTACGGCGTTATCTGTAAAATAAAACCTGCAACTATCGACAGGATGCTTTAATCGTAGAGACGTGATTACAGCCGAACATTTTTCAGTTATAGAACTACATCAAATGATAAATTGAATTTGGCCTTATGATTTATCCATATACACGGTTTCGATAATCTCGATATGATTTTTCCGTATACACGGTTTCGATAATCTCGATATGATTTTTCCGTATACACGGTTTCGATAATCTCGATATGATTTTTCCGTATACACGGTTTCGATAATCTCGATATGATTTTTCCGTATACACGGTTTCGATAATCTCGATATGATTTTTCCGTATACACGGTTTCGATAATCTCGATATGATTTTTCCGTATACACGGTTTCGATAATCTCGATATGATTTTTCCGTATACACGGTTTCGATAATCTCGATATGATTTTTCCGTATACACGGTTTCGATAATCTCGATATGATTTTTCCGTATACACGGTTTCGATAATCTCGATATGATTTTTCCGTATACACGGTTTCGATAATCTCGATATGATTTTTCCGTATACACGGTTTCGATAATCTCGATATGATTTTGAAGCTTTGATGACTTCATGGTTTACTTTTCACGGGAATGTTATCAATGCAATATGTTTTCCCTATAAAGTAATCGGCGCAAACAAATAAATATAATTTCACAATAGTAACATGTTTTGTTTTTCAATGTAAGCGTAACTACTGTTCATATCGGTTCGTCTTTCACGATAATTTGTATGTCATCTTCCAAAGATTCCATCGGTTCGTTTGCAGTTTCCTCTGTGCTGGCGTTGTCTGTCGTTTGACAATCCGAGTAGTCGGCTGACACGTCAATAGCCGTGTGGAAGAGCATGGTTGGAGACACAGGGGCAATGCTGGGTGGCCGGGGGCCGATATAACAATACTGAGTCATATCTACACGGAGGAACGTTAACAACTGTTGTAGTTTATTGTTGATTTCCGATACAGGCTTCCTTTTGAAGCGCCAGTAAAACTTCCTGTTTGTCGGGTGCTTCACTTGCTCCGCACTCCCGAGTCCCAGCTCCTGGCACTTCTGGAAAAAGAGCGCGGAAGCCCATACCGGATGTCGGTTGTTGGTTCCCTGCAGTTTGACGGGAGGCGTTATGGACTTCTGCGAGGCGGTAGTAGCAGAAACGCCATGACCATCGTCGAAACATTCTAAAAGCCGCTTAATTCGTTTTGCGTGCACAGATACAAACATTTGCTTGTCCATGACGACAAAATCGGCAGTTTGCGTTTCTTCCTGTCCATCCTCAGTGAGTGACTGGTCGGGCCAATCTTCGGGTGTTTGCACCGACGCAGTGGGATTTTCCGACAAGTACATGACTTGGTTCGGATGGTGCATTCTCTGTTGTTGTTGTTGTTGTTGTTGTTGTTGTTGTTGTTGCTGTTGTTGCTGTTGTTGAAGAAGAATTTGATGTTGCTGGTTGTGATTCAACTGTTGGTGCACAACTTTTGGTTGCTGAAGCTGACGAAGGGCATCTTTCACATTAACCCACTTTTTACCACTACTACCGGTATAGTTACACATACCGAAGCTAGCACCCGAGCCGAGCATCAACGTGAGTTTTTGGTCAACAAAGTACTTACACAGATCTATTGCTCGACACAGCGTTTCCCTGTCGACTGTGAGGTCCCACTTGAAAGCCTTGTTGTCAGACGGTTGCTTGGAGAATCTACAGGCGTTGACAATGGCCTTCAAAACACCTGCTACACGTACAATTTGACCTAACGATTTCTCAATAACTGTCCGCTTGTTCTGGTCTTGATCCAACTGGTTCATCATACTTGTCCACTCATTGTCATGACAATTAGCCAACTCCTTCCATGCGTCGGTAGAGAATGAATACTTTCTTGGTTGTAAATGGTAGGTATGTAAGGTCTGAAACACTGATTTAAACGAAGGTGTATCCAAAGGCAAAGGGTGCGAGTTCCATATCGGCGAATATTCTTGGTCTGGTGAACAGGACACTAAGTATCTACTTGCTAACCCTATCAGCTTATCATTGTGCAAATTCATAACATGACTCGGGGTCGCGAACCCAGTGTGATTGAAACAGGTTGATTCTAGCATGGTCACCTCCCCTGAAGAAACTTTGAACTTCGGAACACCGTCAAAGAGTTCTAAAACTCTTTGTAGTGCCATATCAGACTCAATATCCAAACATTTATGTAAACATTTAACATTGTCTACAATGCTTAATATTTGTCCTTCATTTTTGTCGAGAACGTCCTCCAAGGATTTCATATCCATCGCTCCCGCCAGAATCTGTGGGGTCGCTGATTTGCTGGAATAACTCGTTGGTCGAGAAAGATGCCACTGCCGGTTTTGTTCGCGCTGAATGTCTATCAAGGGCGTCATGATCAGTTTTAGGGCCGCCGTTTTCTTAGTCCCTGGCCCGGCCCCAACCATGGTCCAAAGGATCGGTGGTTCAGTCCACGTCTCATTGGCTTTGATGGAAGTCTTGTTCCCCATCAACGCTGAAGCAATTAAAAAGAACATAAAGCTCGATAATTCATCAATATCATGAGAAACAAAATCCTCTTAATGATGATAGCTAGATTTAGATAGGCTAATCATGAACACTGTGTTAGAAAAAAAAAGCACAACATTAAAAAGTTGAGAGAAAAACTAACCTCTTCAAAATATGATATAAAATAAATTGTATTGGATTGTTTTCTTCCTTTCAGAGTATTCAACCTCTGTATTTTGTTAAAGTGCCACTGTAAACCAGTATAACCATATGTCTATGTCCACAGTGTAATCCTCTGCCTATATAAAGCATCTTAGATCTCCCAACACTAAGATGAAGTGCAATCCCGTCATTATCTAGTGTAACCCTTTGTCAATGTCCACAGTGTAACCATTTGTCAATGTCCACAGTGTAACCCTTTTTCAATGACCACAGTGTAACCATTTGTCAATGTCCACAGTGTAACCATTTTTCAATGACCACAGTGTAACCATTTGTCAATGTACAGTGTAACCCTCTGTCAATGTCAAGTCTAACCCTGTCAATGTACAGTGTAACCCTCTGTCAATGTCAAGTCTTACCCTCAGTCAATGTACAGTGTAACCCTCTGTCAATATATAGTGTAACACCATATGTCGATGTCGAGTGTAATTGTAGATCTCTGTCATTACCCAGTGTAACTCTCTGTCAATGTCGAGTGATACCCTCTGTCAATGCCCAGTGTTATCCTCTGCAAATACCCAGTGTTACTCTCTGTCAATGCCCAGTGTTACCCTCTGTCAATGCCCAGTGTTACCCTCTGTCACTGCCCAGTGTTACTCTCTGTCAATGCCCAGTAATAACTCTTTGTCAATGCCCAGTGTTACCCTCTGTCAATGCCCAGTGTTATCCTCTGCAAATGCCCAGTGTAACTCTCTGTCAATGCCCAGTGTATCTCTCTGTCAATGCCCAGCGTATCTCTCTGTCAATGCCCAGTGTTACTGTCTGTCAATGCCCAGTGTAACTATCGATCAATACCCAGAGTAATAACTCTTTGTCAATGCCCAGAGTAACTCTCTGTCAATGCCTAGTGTAACTCTGGCAATGTCGAGTGTAATTGTAGATCTCTGTCAATGCCCAGTGTAACTCTCTGTCAAAGCCTTGTGTAACTCTCTGTCAATGCCAAGTAATAAATCTTTGTTAATACCCAGAGTAACTCTCTGTCGATATCGAGTGTAACACTGTCAATGTCTAGTGTAACAATCTACCAATATCTAGTGTAACAATCTGTCAATGTCGAATGTAACTCTCTGCCAATATCGAGTGTAAATGTAGATTAATGCCAGTCAATGCCAGTATAACTCTGTCAATGCCTAGTGTAACTCACTGTCAATGTCGAGTGTAATTGTAGATATCTGTCAATGCCCAGTGTTACCCTCTGTCAATGCCCAATGTAGCTCTCTGTCAATGTCGAGTGTAATTGTAAATCTCGGTCAATGCCCAGTGTAACTCTCCGTCAATGCCCAGCGGAACTCTCTTGTCAATGCTCGGTGTTATCCTCTGTTAATGCCAAGTATAAATCTGTCAATGTCGAGTGTAACTCTCTGTCAATGCCAAGTGTAACTCTCTGTCAATGCCCAGTGTAACTCTCATTGCCCCGTGTTACCCTCTTTAAATGTCAAGAGAGTAATTAATCCTTTGTCAATATCCGGTGTAACCCGCTGTCAATTTATATAAATTAGTTTCCAATTTTTTCCCTATTGTAATTTTAACGATCTGTACAAATACTGGATTTAGCAATTTTGATACAAATGAAATACCTACATTAATATTGTACGCTCTTGTATTGTCACAGCGTTCTGGTGGTTATTTTGTTTTTATTCCTTTTTCCTTTTTAAAACACAATACCATCTGACAAGTCAACATTTAATATTGAAACACTTTCACAGAGCATTTCGAATGACATTTCGGAAAATAATGATTTATTGGTTGAACCAACTAGGCCAACGTTCGGAACCGGTTGAGTAGACGAAGCTATATATGTCAACAATGCACGGTACTTACATACTGTAGCCTAGCCTTTTATAGTATATTTACCTGCGCAGCATGAGAGGAACGGTAGAAATAAATGATCATCGGGACATCCGAGTGCAGCAGCATTGTTGTGGATGAGCTTCCGTACATGCGGGCCACACATCAGTCCGATATCGGGCATAGCCAACCGCTGTGCTGCGTGGTATAGACTACAGCCCTCCTCATTGCCGACTTGCTGCGAGTGGTTGTCAGTTTCTTGCGTGTAGTTATTCATCTTGTAATAACGACTGAACGATATCCGTTCTGACAAAAGTCCGTCGGTTCACTTATAAAATCCCACATGAAGTGGGGAACATGGCTACTGTTCACGCGACCAAGTTCCACGCCTAACACATACTTACAACTAGCTCCACTTGCACACACAAGGAAACAAGAGTGTTCTATTTATAGCCGTTATTGTTCAGCAAGCTGTCTATCGACAAGCCATCTATAGCCTGTTTCAGAAATGTCGCTGCTACTCGAACTGCAGTACAACGCCTGTACATATCCTGTAAGCTTTTTCGACAACCGCTGTGCCGGGGGCTTGGATTGTTTATCAAACACATTCAAACTAATTTAAATGCTAAATTTAGGACACAAAAGAAAGACGTCCTGGTACGTTACACGCCACAGGCCTGCACATGGTCACGTCCGGTATTTGTAGTGACAACGTGGTCGCTCTTAGACTGTCAACACACTACATGTACTTGATTCTGTTTCATCACATCATACATGCTTCTTGCTTAAATAACATTCGTGGTGTGAAAGTAAGACTGTTGATAAATACATATAATATACGTCATCTCTACATTTTAATGTTATATACAGTACATCTTTTTAAAGGGCATGTCTTTTAACCTGTTAGAAAATAGAAATGATTTAGCAAATTCACTGTGGTTATCCCAGTTCACCTCTTCACTCTATGCAATGTAGCTACCTTAATTCTCTAATTACCCCCCCCCCCAGGTGGCAACAACAAACACCCCTAGGCTGTTCACAACGCACCGGCCTGCACCAGTGACTGTTTAATTATTAATAATAATTTCAAACAACATTTTACAACAATTTGTCATGTATATTTTATCCTACACATCTACAATGTATCTCCTAGACATTTACCACTATTTTTTCAGAAAAATAAACATTTTCTATACCTCCGTCCCGACCAGTGCGTTGACCTGAACTGAGGTCCCAGCAACACTTGCTGCACGTGCTACACATGCCCTACAGGTGTCGCCACCTATCGGGGTACCATAAGAGAAAACAATTTCGCGCTAATTCCTTGTAGTCAACCGCGCGAAATATAAAGTCCCCTCTCCCCTCTATGTCCTGTAGCTACCTCAGGTCACATCTCCCCTCTATGTATTGTGGATACCTCAGGTTACCTGTTCCCTCTATGTACTGTGGATACCTCAGGTCACCTCTCCCCTCTATGTATTGTGGATACCTCAGGTCACCTGTTCCCTCTATGCACTGTATCTAACTCCGGTCACATTTCCACTCTATGTAATGCAGCTACTTCAGGTTTCCTTTCCCATATAATATCCTGTGACTACATGAGGCCATATCTCCCCTCTATGTACTGTGACTAACTCAGGTCACCTCTCCCCTCTATATACTGCGACTAACTCATGTCACATTTCCCCTCGTTTTACTGTGGCCTCTCCCCTCTATGTACTGTGATCACATCAGGTCACCTCTATCCTCTTTATACTGTGACTGGCTACCTCGGGTCACCTCTCCCCCCTATGTACTGTGACTACCTCATGCAGCCTCTCCCCTCTTGGTACTGTGACTACCTCAGGTCCCCTCTCCTCTCTTGGTACTGTGGATACCTCAGGTCAACTGTTCCCTCTATATACTGTTACTACCTCAGGTCCCCTCTCCCCTCTTTGTACTGTGACTACCTCAGGTCACCTCTCCCCTCTTGGTACTGTGGATACCTCAGGTCAACTGTTCCCTCTAT